ACAAAAAAATTTTACTTGCTTCAAGAAAATTATTTCTTTGAGGGGTACCTGAAGCATATTTATTTGTTTTAAGTAATTTTTTTCACAGTGTGACAATATAAAATTTCAAAAGAAGCATAACTTTAAGAAGTACAGAGCGAGCGCCATTTGACAAAGCTATCTCTACTTTCCAGGTGAATGAGCTGCGGTTGCTGAAGGAAGCCAACCAAAGACTGAACGACGATAATCAAGAACTGCGCGATCTCTGCTGCTTTTTGGACGACGATCGACAAAAGGGTCGCAAGCTGGCGAGAGAGTGGCAGAGGTTCGGCCGATACACAGTGAGCGTTATGCGACAGGAGGTCTCGGCCTACCAGAACAAATTACGCCAACTGGACAATAAGCAGCAGGAATTGATTAAGGACAATCTGGAGCTCAAGGAGCTGTGCCTGTATCTCGATGAGGAACGCGGCGGTGGTCAAAGGGACGACGGCGACGGGTCGAGCTCGAGTACGAACGCCGAGGAGACCGCGCCGCCGAGGCCGAGGCACACTTCCACATTTAACGGTATAATCTAGTAAAAGATGCAGATCTCTTTCTCTCCCTCTTATATCGAGTCAATAAGCACAAAACTTTTTTTTTTACGCGGAAGGGAATATATTTCAAATATAATAGAAAGATAATCTGATAATAATCATAATTCGCAGAAAATTAAAGCTTTTCTAAAAAAAACTCGCTCTGTGCTTGTGTTTATACAATACAATATGACACGTGATGAATATATGCAAATTTAAAGTGCTTACCGTCATCAAGTAAAAATAAAATAAACAATAATATATATACGCGACAGTTACGATTTATTTTAACGATTTTTTTGGAATGCCGATGATTCAGTTGCGAATTGTCTTACAGACCAGACAATGCAATACGTGAGGAGCTTGGAGCAACGGGTGAAGCAATTGGAGGAAGACAAGAGTGTTCTCCAGGCCCGTGCGCAAGGTTGGGAGATGCTACCATCGGGTGAAATTTGGGACAGTCCCGCGAGCCCGAACGACAATGCTCACTTGGGAAGCCGACCGGAAGCCGTGGTGCGCGCTCTCCAGGTTCTCGAGGTCAGAGAACAACTGGAAAGAGAAGAAGGTCATGACGGGGAGAAGGCGTTAGTCAGAGAGATGTGCAATGTAAGTAAACGTCAATGCTATTTCTCGATTAACGCACGTAATGCGACACGGTAAAGCGACACACGTAATGCCTCACTTAGATGAAAAAAAAAATGTCCTTTAAATAGAATAAATCTTGAAAAACGATAATTTTTTGCCTGATTTTTTACCGTACAACTTGCCTGAAAAAAATCTTCCGCGTTAAATGAGTGATGTAACATGTTCATTATGATACGTATGATTAATCGTCTTCGCTTTCCAGGTCGTCTGGCGGAAGTTGGAGGAAGGTCCGCAAGCGAGGCATTAACGATCGTGCCGGGAGAATTATCTGTCAATTTTGAAGTACTGTTAATATAAAACAATAAGCTCTAACATTCGTTCGTGAAGATAGTATTATAGACGATATTTTATATAGATTTTTATACAATTGTACAATAATCTCGATATGAGAATACCGATATCTATTTATGTAAATGTAATTTTCGCAGATCTATTAACAAAGTATTTTTACTATACACTGTGATTTATTCGCGATTGATCTCGCGCCCTTTCCCTTCCCCTTTTTCATCAAAAATCTATACCGTAAATATTTTTGTTTAAAATTTGAGAAGCAATATGAATTACTTTACAAGTGAATAGCTTTCATATCTTTTCGAGCATCTTTTAATTATAACAAAGTTTCCAAAATTAGACTCTCTTACAGGATTTTCGAAATATCCGATTCATTTTTTTAATTGAAGAACAGAGTTCCGCACGCGTGTAAGGGGTCGCAATTTAGCATCCGCCGCGTTTACTTGGAGCCGCTTTTCACGAAAAGACATTCCCCCCTCGGTGGAATTCACGCGTTGAATACGCAAGCGAGTTTGTATTTCTATTTTTAGCTCGTCAAAGGATTTGCTCTCAATGGTGCAGGCGTTGAATTGCCCCACATACATCTGCGGCTGCCTGTACGTCCGGCATCGTTGCGTCAATGCGAGGCATGCAATTAGGATATTTTCCCTATCTCTAGCTCCGATCAATTTTATCTTCTCGCTGCTCAGTAGCGAGTAACTCTTACATAAACTTAAAAGCGTTCGAAAATTAAAATATCTTAGATAACTCACAGCGAAACTGTCAAACCGAAGCGTGACAAAATTTATATTTCAGTAGGGAAAAAAAAATCGAATTGGCTAGCAATATTATCTCACCGGTCGTTCAAATTATCTTATCTGTATATGTTAAAGAGGCGGTATTCTTCGAATTGCTCCACTCCGCGTCCTTGTATCTCTTCGCGAATTCTTCCCGGCCGCCGAGTTTGCGCCGCGCCGCTCCGGATGAAAAGCGGTGGGGATCGCGTCCAGCAGCCACCGGCTGTCGGAAGGATGAGAGTCGCCGGTGATGTGCTTGTGCGGAGGCCTCGCGGAGAACAACGCCAGGTTCATCCTCCTTGCCGTTGTCCTGGCAGTGTACATGCTCGCAGGCGCGGCTCTCTTCCAACGGTTAGAGAGCGATCTCGAGATACGGCAGGTACGAAAAGTACATCCGGACGTGTATATCAAAGATTATTCTTCATTACAATTCTCGTAAAGAACCGTCGCAGATCGGGAAAATGCGTTCCTTAAAATTAAGAGTGAGACGTAAAAATTAAGAGACTGTGATTTTCATACGAAGTAAATGAAAATTGAGCAAAGAGAGCTTCGTTTAATTATATCATTATTAATTCACGCCAAACAAATCAGTGAATTGTGTATTTTTAACTTTCGTGGTCGCTAAGTGAATATACTGTTATAATGAGATCTACGAGTCAGAATTGAAGCCTATATAATTACAATTATATTTAAAATAATTGGTTCGCGTTGTATTTGAATAAATTGTAAATGTACTTAAATAAATATTGTTTGGGATGGCACAAAGGCCGCGGAATTCTGGCAGGTCTACCACGCGTTTCGAAGGCACCATCTGCGAGGTAGCTCTCTGGCCCTGCAGAGGCTGCACGAGCTGCTGTATGCCTACGGTAACGCTTCCGCTACCGGCATCATTAACAAGAGACGCCGCTGGGACTTTCCTGGTAGCTTTCACTTTGTCAGCACTATAGTTTCTACGATCGGTAAGAAACGTTGGCGCAATGTACCGTATTGGGAATACCGGTTACTAGTCAATCGTTTTATCCACGACATGACCGGGAGTATCGGGGTCAGTGGGATTCATGCCGCACGCTCTTTCGATTCCCTGTTCCCGCGACGTCGCGAACGAGTCGCTTTCAAGGGAACAATTCTGCTCGATTCCGCACCCGAGATCTTAATATCTGTAAAAGCAAAATTTCTTTTCATGAAAATTATCGTTATTAATTATAATTAAGTTATTCGAAGTACGATATCGCCTTTGTAGTTCATGTTACATAAATGAGATTATTTCTTTCTCAGACAATATGATCGAAAATTATATTATAATAACAATTATAACAAAAAATATTAATATGTATTAAAATAATAATTAATATATAACAATATATAATATTAATTTTTCATTATAATTATTGTTATTGATAGCTTTCCAGTTATATTGCCTAGGAAAAAAATAATCTCATTTGTATAATATGAATTATAAAGGTAATTGATACCGTAATTCGAATAGCTTGATTTCTTCCGCTGCCCTTTCTTTCTTGTTTCTTATGCGAGTAAAAATGACTTCGCGGCATATACGCGTATTTATACACGATAGAGAAAAGTTTTATCGAGGTGATCGCATTCCTCCGCAAAACTTGGTCGTAATGACGTTAAGTAAGAGGGTAAGGGTCGTCGGCCGGCGTATGCATGCAGAATGTTCCCCCGGTGAATTCCGGAATGCTAATATCCCGCGACCTAGTCTCGCATTTATCCACACGACTGGCTGTCCTTTGGTCGCCGATCTCTATACACGCATACGTCGCCGTATAATATAATTCTGAAATGAAAGAATTAAGCGTGACACTTATTTTACAGGCTACGGCAGCACCGCGCCCCAGACAACGGCGGGTAAAGCGGCTGTCGTTCTTTATGGCTTCTTCGGTTGTTCCGGTAATAACAAAAAAAAAAAATCTACAGATTAAAATCAAAGATCTGAGATATCGGGCAATAATTAAGAAATCGCAATAAATAACAATTATTAAAAATAATCCGGCTTTAAGAATGTGAAACAAGAGTCTAGAATAAAAAAAAAAAACTTACACATTATTTAATGAAACTATTTTTATCCTAACGATAAGCAATGATTTAGGTGGCATCTTGTTCTTCAATCTCTTCCTGGAGAGGATCATCACCCTCCTGGCGTGGATCTTGCGTAGCTGGCACATACGTCGATTGAGAAGACGTCTCCGCAGGACCACCTTGACATCCCGGCGGATCTCCAAATCGTCGAGCATCCAGAGATCGTCCCGACCGGACATCCTTGATGACGACGATCATGTGGACCTGGACCAATGGAAACCGAGCGTGTACTGGGTCATGTTCTACTTGTCCATCACCTCCTGCATCGTCGCCTGTTGTGCCGCTGCACTTTACGCGCCGCTGGAGGACTGGGATTATTTCGACGCGCTGTACTTCGCCTTCGTCAGCTTCACCACTATCGGCTTTGGCGACTTTGTTAGCACGCAAAAGCCGAGCTACCCTTACGTACATTGGTAAGATTGCGATGTGAGATCGAATTCGTGTAATTTATCCGAGGCGCATGGCTAAAATTCTGCAAACTGAATTTTAAATTTTTAATCGACAGATTCTTTGACGAATTTAACATCAATTTTTCTTTAATAAAAACGCGCCAGTGGCTTTTCGCATTAAAGCTCTGACAATACAAATAAATACAGTTTTGTTCCTCATTTATATATAGGTATAGATTCGCGAACTTCGTCTTCCTCGTGGTGGGATGTTGCTGCATATATTCCCTGCTGAACGTCACGTCGATTGTGATAAAGCAGGGCCTGACTTACGTGATACGCAAGTTGCAATACGGTAATCAGGATGTAGCGGCGCCGTATTTACCCAGGAGGCAGTCCTTCGTGTCGACCGTGTACTATTCGAAGAGGAGGCCGACGAGGCTCGGCGGCAGGGACGCGATCAGGGCGGAGGACAATTCGGATACGCCGCGCAGGATGTCGGGCGAGGTGATCTCCATGAAGGATTTCCTGTCCGCGAACAAGGTCTCCCTGGCTGTGATGCAGAAGCAATTGTACGACGCCGCGCCGAAGCAAAGGGGTGGTGGTTCGCACGCCGCCACGCCGAGTCATCAGGTGTTGAAGCCCGGAGCAGTGGGCCCGCTCGCGATCGCCAGCGAAAAATTTGAAAGCAAAAACACGATAAACAGGTAGAAGCAATCACGGCTGCGGGAAAATATATAGTAAAAGTACAGCGCATCCGTGTCGAGCATATTTCTCATGATTTTCATATTCACCTCGCAAGAGCAGTCGCCTTGCCGATTTTTAAAGCAAATTTATCGACATTCCGTGTGCTGTAAACGCCTGAAAATGATTAATACATAGAAATCAGCGACGATATTCTTGTAAAACATTTGTTCCCGCAAGATCCTTTTATATCTATGATTTGTTTAACGATACTGCGGCTCCTGAATGTTGAACGTAATAAATCATGTACGATCGTCGAATATCGCTCATCGAATAACTTTATTTTAAGTCATGTTTACAGTACAGTCCTCCATGTAGTCAACGACATCGACAAACATGCAATCTCTTGTCTTCGTAACTGCGACAATGTATACGCCGTGTATATACCGCGTCGTGTAAAATAAGTTCAACGTCGTCGTCGTTTCGTCGGCGTGAATTTCTCTGAGTGTGAAAATCGTTCGTGCGGGTTTTTTTTTATTTTTACTTTTATTTACGACACACACCAAACCGGATAGGGTTTTACGTGAGGACACAATTATCCGAATTCAGACACGTTGCGGAATACACAATCTTTGGACAATCTTTTGCGAAAACTCTTGTGGTGTACGTGTGCTTACGTGCGAACGCGCGGCCAGGAATACACAGCTTAAAAATACACGTACATACGTTGCTCCTGCTGTTCGTAAAATTCGCGAGGGCGAAAATTCCCCCGCCCCCCCCCCTCCCCCTTTGGCTACGTAACTACGGTACCGTGCGTCAATTTAAAACCGGACATCTCGAGCCGACGATTCAAACGAGCTCTCGGCCGTGACGACTAGATTCATACGTGGATGAGACCAGCGATTACGAAACGATTACGTGAAAACAGTATGTTCTTCGTTGAAGATCTAAGAACGCATGTTACTTGTATATTATTCTAAAATGAGAACGTGGACGCAAGCGTTTACGAGATCTTGGAATTACGAGGAAGAGAGATAGAGAGAGAGAGAAAGAGCAAAAGTGAAATGGACGATTCCTTGCAGAGATCGCAAGCTTTCACGTAATCTACAGACAATCGCTCGCCGTTAAGTGAAGCCAAATACGTTGCGAATAATGAGCGTTTAACATTACTCCAATCATCGCCGTACGGAGGAAGTTACGCTGATCTAAGACGCAGCGCGATCTAACCCGTCCGCCGTCCAGATTTATAAACCGGGGGTTTTTTTTTTATTTTTAACATCTCTTTAAACCTGTCGCTTAAATTTCGTCCATCTACTTCACACTCGAATCGGATTTTTAAAGTAAAACTACCAGGCCTAGCGCAAATGGCGTGCCGATAGTACCAGGACTTGTTCTACCTTTTTTTTTTTCTTTTTCTCTTTACGGTATTCTTAATATTTCAAGGAAAGATCTCAACAATTGTACGAGACTACAATGCTCTCCGTCGCAAGTAGATTCCTCGAGCCTCGGGTTGGTTTTCAGTCAACGTTTTTAGGCGTTTCTCTCTTTTTTTTTTTTTTTTCGTTTCGAGGCTCGGGCAAAGTTATCCTTAAAACTGCGTGCTCTTCGCTTCCAACAAATCCGCCAAAGCCACTAGGTTATCATCGGTAACCGTCGTCATTGTCGATCGATCAAACGCGTACAATCAACAAAACAGCGCCCCAGTGTTTCGCACTGACGCTGACAAAGCCGCGTATATTCCCAAATATTCTCGGGCGACACAGCGCTTCGCCGCCCCCGTCCAGGCGACGTTGGTCGCCCCCGACATTGGTAACGGCAGCAAAAAAACGCAGCCTAATATCTCGACTGCGTACAAAGGGTTGCGAGATTCATATCTCGATAAATTGGCGACGCTCATCCCCCGTGTCGAGGATGCCGCGCGTTTCCTCAACGTATGTCGCGCATACGCACAAACTGCTGGCCAATCATCTCCAGGCCACCGTTGCCTATCAGGTCCACGTCGTTCGTTATTTTGATTATTTTCTGCTTCAGGAAATCCCCGTCGCATCCTTGTATGTAATCGGATATCACAAAGTTGTTGTCGTTCAGCGCGGGCGGTTGATTTTGATTCTGCGGCGGCCGATTCCGCGATCGCGGTATTTGATCCGCCGGCTCCATCAGGTGCGCGTGCTTCTTGCGCTGGTGTTGCAAGAGCTTTGCCTTGAATAGAATATACACTTATTAACAACTGTCGATTGTTGACTAAATATAATCTCTCTCTCTCTTTCTCTCGGGCTTTATATAAAACTCACCTTGCTGGCGTACTGCTTGTGGCACCACTGGCAACCTTGGGGACTAGTCGTGATGCTGCCCACTGTCTGACTGAAGCTTGGATTCGGCAGTCCCGAGAATTCGGATTCTTTCTGCCGGTTGCTAGGCGGCAAGGCCGCGCCAGGATGGTTCTTCATGATATGCGCCTTACGTTTGCTGCTGCTTTTATAGACCTTTAAAAAAAAAAAACGATACTTTGATTTCTATCTCGAAATGGGATTTTATTATCGTGACGGTAACGGCAGCAAAATAGTACCTTGTCGCAATACTGGCAATAATAGTCTCTGGTTTGTCGCAGAATAGGTAAGTTCAATTCCGGCACAGACTCGGGAGCGACGTCGGGATGTCGCTTCGCTAGGTGATTCACCAGCATTCCCCTACGCTTGAAACCCACCAGGCATTGATGACATTTGTAAATGAAGCGATTGTAATCGTTCGGATTTACCTGTTAACAGAAAAATAATTGAGTAATACATAATCGATCACGTTTTTTCACCTTGGACGCACCTTTGGCACAAATTTCTTCGCCTGGTTGTTCTGCGTTATTTGTTCTCCGTTAACCACCGCTTGGGAGTGGTGTATTTTAGTCATGTGTTCCTTCAATTTATCCTTCCTCTTAAACTGTTTACCGCAGTTGGCGCAATGAAATTCTCTGCGTAAATAAAAGCCGATTAAATTTTCTCGCGTCTCTCTCGTTAACATAATTAATTTGGCACGTATTAATGCCGAAATTAAAAATTGTACCTATGATCGGAGTGCTTCAGCAAATGCATTCGCAACTTGTCGACCGTCGGGAAACGTTTCGCACAGTGCTGGCACTTGTGCTTCCTCTCGCAATGGTGTGCCCGAATGTGTTTGCGAATGACTGAATACTTGATGAACGTTCGCTGGCAGTGAGGGCAACTGAATATACCGTCTTGGTTTCTATGTGTCTCAACGTGATCCTTCAGCATTGTACCTTGGCGGAATAGCTGCCTGCACATCGGGCACTCGAAGACCTGTTTGTTTTCTGCAAATCGAAATCGTTATAGGAACAACAATCGATAAGGCCGTACTGTTTCACGCTTATTGTTTCGTTATAGATTCACCTTTATGCGTTTTCAGATGACCCGACAACGCGGAGTTGTTCATAAATCGCTTCAAGCAGATACTGCACGGCAGTGGTTTTTGGTCCTCAGCACCATGCGCCAAGCAGTGCTGTTGTAATCGTATCTTCGTAGCAAAACGTTTGTAACACATTGAACACTTGTATGAACCTAGAGGAGTTAATCTCTTTGCCTTAGGTAACGCCATTCGCCCGTGCTGAGACACATGATTCGCCAATTCGCTGTGCTTGTGGAATTCCAGTCCGCATTGCGGGCACGCGGACATTTGATTCTCAATTTTGATATCGTTGGAATGAACGGCCGTGTGCAGGTTAAGCAGGGACGGCTTCCGGAAAATCAAGTTGCACACGGAACATTTCCACTCTTTGTCGCACTTGTTCTGCCGCGAGTTCTCCTTCTCCTTCACGTTTCTGTCGCGAAACATCTTTATGCGTCGATTGTAAGAATTACCATCCAAGCGTGACCATGTGGATATTTGATTAGCCACTTCTGCCAAAAATTAAAAAAAAAAAGAGGGAATTAATCTGCGTCGGTCAATACTCATTATGCCACGTCAGTAATTAATACATATCTATATTCTTTATACCTTTTTCATCTTTCGCGTCTGGTTTGAGTATTGGCAAATTTCTGCGACTTGCATAGTCTGGACTAGGACCTGCCTTGAGCTCTTCCTTTGGCGAAATGTTTCTATTGGTCAAAAATACTATTCCATCCTTCTGCTGACAAATGATTAAATTTTGCTCCTTGTATGTCAGTGCGGGCCGCACAAAACGCATCCAGTTTGAGGTGTCTAAAAATGTAACGGAGATCTAAGTTGAAGCACTTTAACCGAAAAATAAATAGACGTTACAGACGATTGCTTACTTTCGTTGGACACATCTACTTTCAGGAATTCCCCATTCTCAGTTTCGTAGAGCAGTGGCAAAGCATTCTCGAAGGGCGAGCCGTCGTAAGTGCACAACACACCTTCGATGGGCCCGAATTGCGTGCGCCTTCGAATGTTACGTTTCGCAAAAATCCCGTAGGTCGCGCCGTTCGCTGCAGCATGCGAAGTAGATAGCTTGTTTAACAAAAGATATGAGCCTGGCAGTGTTGCTACAGCACGCGATGGCACAGGTTGATCCGCGATTGTGCATACGTCGGTCAAATTGGAGCTGTCGTCTTTGGCACAATTAACATCGTACTCGTCGTCGCACCCTGTAAAAATGCCTAATATACAAAAAGCTTATAAATAAAGTAATAAACATATTTATTTACACGCTTGGAATATTATACTCACAGAAATCTTTCTTATCCGTTATATGCCGTTTGGATCTCCGCACATCTTTCTTCTCGATCACCTTCTTCTTCTCAGTGGACACCGGTTCTTTGGTAATCTGTTGAATCTCCTTATCACACTCCGGCAAAGCAAGATTGTTGTTTTCTTTGTTCGCATCTTCGGTAATGGATGGCAAAGCGATGGGGTTGTCCTCCATCTCCATGTTCTGATTTTTAAACGTGTTGATAACGTTTATTTGATCATCCTGCATCACCAGGAAGTCTCTGGTCAGAGCGAAGTCCGTGCCTGGTATTCCTGTTAGCATTAAGGGAGTCGCCGAAGATTCCAATTCAGGTGCAGTTTCTGCAAGTGTTATATAATGGTTAAAGGATAACAAAAAAAAAACCATTTAATATGTACATTTTATTTTACAAAAAAAAAAAAATCATTTCTTACCCTGCATTAAAATCAATTCGCTGCTGACGCTGGACACCAGCCCATCTTCGTTCCCATTGCCAACAAAGTCTGTGGTAGTGTCTGTCTGAGGTACGGCCTGAGTGTCGATCGGATGGGTCAGCTGGGTCACGTAATTAATGCTCGTTCGTATATTCGGTTCAGGCTGGGACATCAAGGGCGAGGACGGGCCTTGAAGGACGACGACGGAGTTGTGGAAGGGTGAGGAAGGCAGTTGGACCGGCGTGGGAGAATATCTGGCGGTGGAACTCATGTTCGGATCCAGCGGGCTGACTCGATTCTCGAACTCGGATAGGGGGGAGGCCGCCCTCGGCGAAAAGGAGATCTGCTCATACGTGGGGAACAGTCGGGATTGATCCTCCACATATTCCACCTGGCAACAGAGGGGCCACAGTCGTAAAGATACACACCAAGATACTGACATGTCGTTCATCATCAAAGGAGTTTACTCACGGTCAGGAACAGAAGCCTGTTGTTCAGCTTCTTCGGCTGTTCGCACAGGGACGAGGCGAAGGGGTGATCCGTCGGCCATCCGTTGACCGTGGTATCGGCCCCCCTGTCGATGCTGGATATCTCGAAGGACTCGGCAGGGGCCCCCTCAGGAGGGCCCCTTGGATCCATCTTACGTTGACGTATCGCACCAGCGAAGTCCGTGGTGTCTTGTCGCCCGTGCCGTTGTGTTACCAGTCACATTCGATCGCGCGGACGTGCACACGGGAGTACGCGAGGGAAGAGATGTAACGGATCTCTCTGACGGCCAGGTGACAGCCAGGGTCGCTCTAACCGCGACGCGCGACCCTCGGTGTTCCGGGCGCGACGCGGACGGCGGACGACATTGCGCGCGAGGCAGGAAACAGGTGTTCGTCCTGCGGGTCTCCGTTATTTTGAACTCGCACGAGAGGAGTCAAGCAGCCTCGACACACAGGGGCTCGAAGTCGATGCACCTCTCACTCGATAACAGTGAGCATCCGCTGCTGCAGCAGCACTGGCCCGTCAACAGTCGACGATGCCGATCTCGCAACGCGATTGATTAACGTCGAGACGGCGGGAAACTTTGAACCCGCGAAACAGTCCGTTCGGATCGCAATTATCTTACAATTACATTAGCTTATTGTTTGAACGACTGTAAAATCTATTCGTAAAATCGACAGTTGTTTTACTGATTATCTTCTAAATAAACGCGAATGCGCATGAGGTAAAATAAGGGAAAATATTTTTCTTTGTTTACGTAAAATTAATAGAAATTTAAGGATATAAAAATATATAACTGTGTTATAATTAAAAATATATAACTGTGTTATAATTGAAACACATATTATTCGTATGATAATTAGGAATAATGTTTTTCGTATTAAAAAAATTTCAAGTCAAATTTCTGTATATTACAATACTACTCTAAATTATTTAAACAAATTTTTAATTTTTTAAAAATTAGTAAAATAATTTTAAAAAATAATTAACAAAAATTTCAAATATTTATTATTTATCGTGCGGGAATATCAGTGTGTAATATACTATATATTCTTGCAATTTCCCCCGCGATTATATCGTTTTCACCCTTCTACCGTTCAACTCATGAATGGGGATTGGGACCCCCCATTCACCTCGGATCGGGAGGGTTGGAAGCTTTCCCTGACAACAGAGAAACAAACACGGATAAACAAGAAGCTGGCGCAGGGCGCAGTCCACGATACGAACTGAACAATTGTTGATCGTAAAAACTTTGAAAAAATCGCTTCAGATCCCAGATTGACGAGAGACATGGTGCTGCTCGACGAAGCGCGGAAGCTGATGGACGAGATGATGAAGGTGACGATTTTCCAGCCGTCCGAGAAACGGCGAATGCTGGAGGACGAAAGAAAGACCTTCCCGGATCCGAATTTAGTTATGGACGCGAGGCACAGAATCTTTCGCGAGGACCTGGCCAGTTCTCCAGCAAAGGCTTCTGTCCTAGCAGAGGCCAGAAGGTATACCTTCGAACTTTACGCGCAGCTTTATAAAAGTATAGATTTTATTTATAATATATCTATTTATATTATGTTCATATAAGTCTAGCTAGTATACGCGTAATCTATAAATTATCGCGAATAAGATTATAATGATTTTGTATGAAGATTATAATGATTTTGTCGCTTATCTTATTGATCGATTATTATTATCTTATTATTTTATTGATCTTTCTCGTTGTTATCGTAGCTAACACATTATGTAAATGGATCGCGTAATTTTGGCCGGAAATGATAAAGATAAATTAATTCATCAAATGTATTCACAGATTATTGACGCAGGAGGAAACGAGGGAACTGCAGGCGAAAAGAGAGCAAGCTTTCATACAGAGGGAATTGCGCAAATTTGAGCAAGATTTGCAAAAGTCTCGTCCCAAATTTTGCGGATTGTGCAGCAGAAAGAATATAGCTAGCTCGGATGACGAAAACTTTTGGAGAACATCCAGCAAAGTCAAGGTGAAGCTCGACAACAAATTAGACATTTAATAAAGATGAATCACTATTTTCAACGTGTGATGCCTGCGAATATATTATAAATTTTCCAGCATCTAAATTAATTGTATCAATTGTCTTAATAAGCCTAAAAAATTTACAGCGGATTCTCATTAATAAAAGAAGCAAAACGATGGAGCAAAAGCCGACAGCCGCTCAAAAGAGGAGCAGAAAGCCGTTCGCGGAAGTCTCTTCCGCCGAATTGAAGAACAACAGGCGGTGTCTGACGAACGGGATCGAGATAGCGTCTTTCGGTAGCATTAAAGTGACCATCAAGGATAAATCGAGCTGCGAATCGGAAGAGCAACGACTGCATATTTTAAGAACGTATTTCGAGGCTCTTCGACAGAATGCGCGGGATAAACACCGTCTCAGCGAAATCAGGATCCGCATCCAGAGCATCTTGTCGCGAGAAAGACTGAAATCGTACGTTCATCTGTGGAAGATGCGTGTGAGGGAGGCGAAGGCACGACGAGAACGCGCGGCGGAAGATCCCGACGCGCGGAGGATCGAGATGCTCATCGACACTCTCAACGAGACGCGGAAGGAATTGAAGTCAAGTCAAAGAGCGGAGTCGAAGGATTCTTCCTCGAACTCGAGAGACACCGAGGCGAGGAAGAAGCCATCCAGGCCGTTCGTCTTCGAGTCGCCGGCGCAGTGCCGATTGATCGCCCAGAAAGAGATCATTCGCAAGCAGCGGCTGAAATTGGCCGAGCAGAACAGGATCATTGAGGAACTGAAGCTGAAGCAGGTGCAGGAGGAAATAGCGAGGTCCGGCGAGGAAACGGTGAACGCGGCCAGGGAGACTCTCACCCACTGCGGTCAGCAGACCAGGAGGACGTTGATCCAACTGATGAGACAAGCGGGCTATAGGTAGATCCTGTAATTACGAGTAATTATGACGTATTTCATTTCGTCAAGCTATAAACTACACGGAAAGAATTTTATTTTAAAATTTATCTTGAAAATTATGTTAATCATAGGACAACATAGCATTTCGACAAAATTTTCATTTTTATATAACTCATTATTTTTTTTTTTAAATATGTACTACAACAACTTTATTGTAATGCACAATAAAAAAACAGAGAAAATCATATAGAATTTGCCGAAATGCTATGTTGTCCTATAATTAACGTGATTTTCTGGGTATATTTTTAAAAGAAAGTTCTTTCCGTGTATGAATTCTTTATCTCGAAAAGAATATAACTTCAGGTCGATAAATTCCTAATTCCCGAATACGATTCTCAGTCGAGCTTGCCGCTGAAACTTTTAAGATTCGAGTAGTATAATCAGACTAATAATCGAAACTTCTCAAGTCAGCTTTATGTTCGACGTAAAATATACAAATGTCTCCTTACGTTATGACGTCGTTTGCATCAAACATGTGCATCTATTCGCACGGCATGCGAGTGTATTCTGAGCTATAAAGCTCTTTTAAAACGACGATGACGCAAAGCGTAAAGACGCTGGAAGCTGGTCTTTGCGGACTAAATTAAAGTGGATCGTTGATTACATTGCTCGCTTTACGCGCTGGTCTTTCTACGAGTTTGCGAGGTAGAAAGTATCTTAAAGAGGAGATGTTCAGAGTCAAGCCCTTTTTGTGCTAAATTAAATCCGACGCAGATTTTACGCGAGCGTAATTCGGCTTGGCGGACCCTTAATTATACGTTCTTCTTTAATTAACAGGGACAAATCCCTGGTGGCGCCAATTCGAGTACCGAGTCCCCCTAAATTTCTGGCGAGGATGGAAGCGCGGGCGGAAGCGAGGAGGGACAGAATAAAGTTGCGCGAAGAAGCGCGACGGAAGAAACTGGAGGACGAGAGGAGAAAAGAAGAGGCCGCCAGGAGGGCGGAGGAGCAAGAGAGGAAAAGATTGCAACAAGAGGTCAGATAATATGAGAGGTCAAAGTATATTAATATCGTATTGGGTGTGTGCTAGCACACTTAGCTCTCTCTCTCTCTCTCTCTCTCTCTCTCTCACATAGCTTTCACCTTGCTAACAAAATTATCTCTTGCGAGGGACATTTCCAGTAAATGTTACACTGTAATAATTTCTAGTTTACATTACTCATACAATATATTGTTTATTTTGTACTTCATTCTATAACATAATAAAGTACTTTATCCTCTAATGCCACTTACACGCTACATTTAGAAATATACTCGCGGTTTAATCTAACAAGATCTTTTCATCCCCAGGCCCTGCGCGAAGCGCGAAGAATGCGCGAGGAACGGGAGCAACAACGAGCGCGCGAAGTGGAAAGGTATAAGAAACTAAATGCCATGGCGGAAGCATTTTATCGCAAATACCTGTTGCGACGCTATATAACCGCGCTCGTCGAAAAGAGGAATAACGATATGAGGAAAGCCGACGACTACTACAAGCGGTGCTTGCTGCAAAAAGTGCTCGTGATGTGGCGGATGGAAACGGAACGTCGGGGTAAAATTAAATCCGAGCTAGCTACAACGTTGTACAATAGAAATTTATTGCGATACGCGTTGCAAAAGTGGAAGGACGTGGTGCAGGAGGAGAGAAGAAAGGGCCAAGTGGCGAGAGACTTCTGCGACATGAGATTACAGAATAAATATTTCAAAATGTGGAAGCTAAAAGTTATGGAATATAAGGTGGAGCAATTGAAGCGTGAGCGTTTAGCTCTGCAGCACTACGAGGAAAGGTTGAAAATCAAGTATTTCAATATGTGGAAAAGGTATCCAGAGATGGTGCCGGTTATCATGGAGAGGAAGCGAGTGAGAGACATGTGGCGGGAAATCGTGCAAGAAGTAATCCCAGACTTCGACCCGAGGCAAAGAGGTGTAATATTAGAAGACTAGTGTAAAAACGAATTTAGAAATAACTTAGATTTAATACTGTTACGACAATCGTTGGCCTCGTCATCCGAATGAGGTAAAGAGTAGTCTTAGTCCCTAAATACACGCGAGAACAGAAGTTAACATTTCTCTTACGCCGAATAAAACGCAAATCATTACTGTACATACGTATTTAAATTTCCTTTTACTTGAACATATTTTAGAACCGTATTTATATGTATGTATGTATTTATGTGTATGTATGTGTACGTGTTTGTGTGTGTGTATGCGTGTACTCAATACAATTTACTATATTACTCGTACAATGGCCATTTTATCACAGTTACATTAAATATACAAATGGTATGCACAATGCGATACATTAAGGATGACAGATGTAATAGATTTTGATGCTTCGTGATATGTCGAACATGATTTCATAAGTATAATATTATGGAAGTAATATCTATTATACTTTTCATGAATTATGAATCGTCAGATATCAAGATTATGTTGGATGAAGAATAGTGTGCAATCGAGTCCGATCTTAACTGTCGCATTCTGATTCACTTGTCTCAAGTGGCCTAAGGGCCACGGCACGCAGAAAAGCTTGAGCAGTGAGACGTAAGCAGCAAAGAAATCAACATGTTGGATTCGCTACTATTTACGTTATGGCCTTAAAGTCTCAATTGTGATTAGTCGATTGTGCTTACGTTTTTCTTTTTTTTTTTTGCTTAAGTTTTTGCGTGTGTCACGGCCCTTATTTGTTACCTACGGCTTTATAACGCTATGACAAATAATTTGGCCTTACCGTTCTTCTAGTTTGTCAAATTTGATTTCGTCGTAATCCTTTGTACAGAGTGTAATGCATACACCGTGTGAAATAAAATTCAGTGATCCTAGCTTACAAATAGCGTCCCTAAGTTTTGCAGCAGAACAGCCGAGATACATTCTTCAGCATCCCGTGGTCGTACTGATTTTTGATGTCCATCCGTCGCTCGTTCGACGTCGTGCCGATGTACAGCAGCCATAGGTGGTACGTGAGATAACAAAGGAGCACCAGGCCCACGAAGAGGCTGTATAGCGCGGAGACGAAGCAGAGCGCGATGCTGAAACAATATACACATTTATTGCATATCGATCGGGCGGCTTCGGAACGGAACAGTTGCGCGACACGTTATCTGTGTCGAACTTTTATATATCAGAAAGCAAATATGAGATATTACAATATTTATGACGCCGCGTCTTGCAGACAATTATCATTATCTTGCGATTATTAAATTTTATAGATCCCCTGTATCTTTCCAGTTTACTTCATCGAGTCTTGGTATCAGTGACATCCTTCACACTTCCCGCTCGTGATATACATGACGTTCTGATCTTGTATAGTGGAATAATTTCAAGAGTTGATTCAAACACACACGCACGTGTGTGCTTTGATATATTCTCAAGTGTGTATCAGAGCGCAATTAGGAAGTGCACATGGTAAATACGTACTCCAACTGATGATACACGTCGCTGCAGTCATCCGGGAGGAGCACGGTTCCGATGAGAATGAACGGATGGCAGACGCTAGTCATAGTTAAGTTGGAACCGTATATAAAAGCGATTGCGGAAAAGAATAAACAGCCTAAGTACCACCTTAAGTTGCTGGAACCTATGCAGCAATCCAGCCTGAAAAAAAAAAAGGAAGAAAACCGAAGTGATTAGAGAAGAATGCAAGAATACTAGATTGTATAATCATATAAACGCGGTGACTCCGCGGTGAAAGGAAGGAGAGTAGCCGAGGTTGCCTACCATTTGCAATGGTATTCCCTATTGAGTATACAGGTCTGGCACAAGCGGCAGTGATGGGCCTTGGGCGGCGCCCTTCTCCTGCACGTGGCGCAGAGCTCGCCGCTGCCCTCGCCCAGCTCCAAGCTCTGCGTGCCGCCGACGACGGCGCTCTCCTGCGTCGCCGTCGCGTCCGCGTTCAGCTTGGTCTTGTAGCCGCACCACATGCCGCCGACGACGCACACCATGAACAGGAGATTCTCCTCGGGCAGGATCTCCAGCAGCGGCACGACGCTAATCTCGAACACCAGCATCATCATCAGCACGCTCGTGATAGTCCACATGAGGAAGAACTTGGTGCGCAGTAGAAACCTGAGGAAGTTGTGGTGCAGGTAGTAGACGAGGACCGGCGTGACCAGGAACACGACGACCGTGCAGAGGAAGGCCTGGGCGGCGATCACCGCGAGGATCGGCACCACCAGCAGCGGCAGCATCGCGTCCACGGAGATCTGCTTGGCGCCCGCGCGCCAGCCGCACGGGTTACGCAGCCTCTCCCAGACGGGACAAGTCATGCTTCGTCGTCGTCGTCGTCGGCGGCGACGGCTTGAAACCGGGGGGGGTGGGGTTGGGGTGGGGGGTGGGGGAGGAGGGCGGGAGCTGTCGTCTCCTCACACTGGCATATGCGACCCAGACGTCGGCTTCGTCGGCGACGACGGTGTTTTTCGAGGTTAGTCCGACTCCCGCGGACTCCGTGCGCGCCGTTTCCCGTTGACGTTTTCCAACGAGGGCCGGCGGCGGCGGCGGCGACGGCGGCGGCGCCGGCGGCGACGATAACACACACGGGACTGCACCACGGGGAGTCGACGCACTCTGGTGCCCGGCGGCGCGGCGTGGCGCGGGCGCGCGGCGCGGTAATCTCGAAACGGTATCGCGCGGGAAGCGCGGCCGATGGTAATCGCCGTTTTGAAAGTCCGCCACCTCGCGCGAACGAAACTTACGAAACGGACACACACCTGTGTCGTCCCCGGCCATCCTCGCCGGCGCTCGATTCCTAACCCTGGGAAGCGCGAGGCTGCACCCGCTTCACCGCGGCTCAATTCGTCATCGGGCAGAAATACAAAACGTCGCGACGACGGATTCGTCCTCCTCTCGTCGTTCCTCCTATCGTCTCTCCGCGGCTCTGATGAATCTCTCTCTCTCTCTCTGTCTCGCTGCTCGAATATCGCGCGCGCGAGACTGGCGGCGCTGCGGCGCTCCCACAGCCGCAAGCGCGATGGAGTCGGTGTCAGTGTTGTCATCCTGTGTGGTGCACGACTGACAGCTAACCGCTAAACGGCGAGCCGAGCAGCTGAGCCGAGCTCGACGCGGCAGCCCCCGTAACGTCGTGTCAATTGTAAGGTACGTCGTGGAGATCGACGACAACGAATATCCCTGACGGCGACGATTCCTGACCGTCGACCTGACCCCGTCCCGGGGCGAGGAGACCTCCCCGCACGCGTCGAGTCCGTGTGGCTCCGATTTCTTTTGGCTGCAAGCGTTTTTACACTTTCTCGGAAAAACGGAACGAGAGTCTAATTGAACTTCTCGCGCGGGGAAAAGGAGCAGGAGGCTGCAATTGAAAAAACAAGCTTACACTGAATTTTACACGTAGGTTTTACCCTTCCCAGTCGCTTCTTGCATTCATACTTGTATACCTACCCTCCGGAGCAAGTGTGGCAAGTCGAGAAATAAAAGATGCACAAAGTGAATCGGCAGTCGAACCGAATGGCAATCGTCTCTCTGCGATGCACGAAGAATAGAACGGAAATTGCGAGAAGAGGGATTGCGACTCGGTGTTCCGCCTCGTTTTCAGCTTTCTCCTTTCTAACGCTCGCCGTGTGCTTAGAGTAAGGTATAATTCTCTTTGACTATATAAGTATGGACTGACAGTAATTAACTTCACACGTGTCGCCAAGCTGGAAGATGTAGACTCCACTTCGGTCAGTAATTTTCTGCGGGGAGGAGGAAGGCTCCTGTGAAATCAGCGTGTTTACGACACGTGTAAAGGAAAGGTGCTGAGCCTGTTTTTAATTTCATTCCGTCGATTTGAGATTTTTTTTGGCTCCCTATCAATTTTCAACATAATATTTAATACATTTTGACAAATATTTGATATTTTTTTTACTGACTGGGGTGGAGCCTAAAAATCGAAGTTCGATACCTCAACCAACTTCAGCTCGGCGACACTGGGCATATGTCTTTTACATAGTAAAATCGGGGGGACTAGCAGTCCATATTTATATAGTCAAAGATAATTCTTACTTACACTTCCTTCTAGGACAGCCTTACATTGGCGCTTTAGAAAATAAATGGAATTCAAGTGTAGGAAACAGCTGAAACAAGTAGCTAAGAATAGCTAAAAAGTTTAGCGTACATAAGATATGCCTGTGTTACAATTTACATTTTTGCATGTAAAAATGAGATTGGTGTACGTTTAGGTTTACTGAAAGATGGAGAGGAATGAAACAAAGCGAACGGAATCTCTAAGAGGAATCTAGAAACGAGGACTCGGCCGACGTCGCGCGAACGGATGGCGGGACCGTAAAGAGAGAGAGCAGAAAATGCGAAGCGATGGATGCTCTTAATTGTCAGTTTTACGAGACGGGAGTAGCGAGAAGGTCAACCAGCTATCGTTATCGTCGTCGGCGATTCGCTGTTTATCGACGTCGCGCGCCGATCACGAAAAGTCCGCGAGGCGATAAAGTAATTATAGAAACGCCAGAAAAAAAGAAAATTAAAAGACTCGTGTCGCGCTTATTTGCAAAATCATATGCCGGGATTGGTTGCGATCCGAGCGGGCCAATCCGGGTTCGATGCCGCGGACGCGCGAATGTGATCTTCGCTCGTAACGATGACGAAGGGGCGAGATAATTTATTGGCTTAGAATATTTTCATTTCGAAGATTAAGTAAAAAATTACATCGTTTAATTGGTAATTGGAATTATGGAAGCTGTATATTAGCTGTACGCTCCGCTGTTTCTAGATTCTTCCATATGACGATTGAGAAACGATGACCTTCTTCGAGAAGGAACGTCTTGTTTGCCGATTCGTTGCTTTATTTCACTCAGAGGCGGACGCTGAAAAATTACTCGCATCTTTAACACACTATTTATCGTACCGAGGACGAGGGGCTAATTAAAGCACTCTTGGAGCGTAGAAAAGTTCATTAAGATAATCGGCCGCCATAATAATGCAACCCGGCCGAGTGCGGAAAGATTGATCGGCAATCGTGCCACGCGGCTGTTGCCCACTGAACTGTTTTCAATTGTTTGCACGTGTTCGCGGGTTTTATCGTTGCATTGCCCGCCGTGTTTACTGATTGAATTGTTGGGGATTGTTCAACCTCGTGGGTGGGAGTGCGCGTTCAATTGCGGTATTTTGCATTGTGTCTATAACGTCGTTATCTGCAGCTGTATGAAAAAAACGTTGTCGCCGATAATACCACTGGAAAACGTATCCATAAAATTACTACATTCTAGATAAGTAAATGACGTTGACGTTACATGATGAATCTGCGAATTTGTTCTTTTTTTTTAATGGTATCGTCAAGCCGAAAACGAGAACAGGCATTAACGCTGATTAGGCATTAACGTATTGACGAAATTGAATCTAGATATTGGACTAATTATCTCCGTGAATATTTATAGTGAATAGTTTATGGCAAGTAATAACAATTATTTTTCTTAATTTTTCCGTTTAACAGTCCCTCAAGCGATTATCGAGACGCAACGTGCGGCGAACAATTGAGTCTATCGCTACGCCTTTTCCGAGATCAATTGCATGTTATTATCGTGTACATCACATGTGTCACACTTACATGACGCGTTTATATAGTTCGTTGATTCTTTTCCCGTTTCTCGATAGACTGGCGAGGGGCCAACGCTGCGTGAACCACGATTTTTCGTCGTGGAAGAGAACCGATTGGAGGCGCCGGAGGCTCGACCGTGGATTTCCCCTTCCTCGTTGCGCGGATAGTTAATATCCGACGTCCACCCCCAGCCGAGGACTCGAGCTGGGGACACGAACTGACGAGCAAGAGGAGTGTACTCTCGTTTCCCGACGTGCGCGGATAGGCACCGTGTTCGACTTACTCGTTACCGACGTAATTTCGTTAACGATAATTTCGATTAAGTAAGCCTAATTTTTGTCTTTAATATGCGGTAACATAAATTTTGTAAAAGTGTCTCCGAATAAACGGTTCAAATTTAACGCAAGTAGAACTACAAGTAGAATTTTTTTTTTTTTGACAAACAACAGTTGAAATCAGAGATGTTTGAAAACTTAACTCTCTAGACTGAAAATAGCAAAAGCATGAATTCAATCTTCTTCAACATTTTCTCTGAGGGAAAATATTGAGTTTGATTCGTTAAAGGATCATTAACATTGGATCTGTTTATTTTAAAATATTTTGCGTATGATAAATAGAACTATCTTGAAAGTTACTTCAAATCTCCTGGCTCATTTCATTAGTGCTGGAAATCTTATAAAACTCTGCAGTTAGAATTTGAATTTGTAAATTAATTTTACATTATTAAATTCTATTTGTGAGTAAATAGAAAAGCAGGTAATTAAAAATTTTTTTATTTGTGAATGGAGTTATCTTTCTCTAACATATTTAACTGTATATTTAAGATATGTATAATATGTCTAGTTTACAATATTTGATATGACAGATTGTTGCTGAGTGCATATTATTAATATTGCAAATAAGATCACTGTCGTTCTCCGAATCTCGATATTAAGTTCTCGGTAATCTCAATATTAATCGCCGAAAAAGATCGTGAGCTATCGCGCATTAAAATATATTAAGGCTATCAGGATATATTAAGAATCATAATTAATATTCTTTAGTATTCTAATTTTCTAGCATCACAGCAATTATATTTTTGCGAGGTATTTAAAATTTGTTTCTCAATTCTTAGATTTGAATGGAGAACGAACGATCGGTAATCAGAAGGAAGCTGGTTCGCGCCATAAAGTAGTGAAGGCGTTCAGAACTTTAATTTTATAGCTTTAACAATTAAACAAGTCGAATCCTGTCTATAATTAAAACGACAGCTGCCTGGTCATCGCGTCACGTTTTCCAACGCGGATCTGTAAGAATCGAGAAGAAAAGTTTACCAGAGAGGAACGGCTTTGCGTTCTTGAGGCTCGTCGCTAGATTTATGAGTGGATCGTCACATGCTCCGAGAAGCGATAACGAGGCACTGTCGTCGTATGGCGGCACGGGAGCGAGTATCGACAGATAAGAATTGCCAGTGGCGGTAGATCAAATCCTGCCATCGCGGCTGTAGCAGCGATTTCTCGCATGGCCGCGTGCGTTTCCATTCTGACACAGTATAGTGATGATGGCTCATTGATAGTGCTGGTAGAGGCGACAGCGGCAGTAGCGACGGCAGTGATTGTTATCGAAGAGTCTATAAATCCCGGATTACCGTTCACCAACGTTTCGTACTCCGCGAAGGTTCCGCGAAGCTTCCGAGCCTTCCCCACGGAAGGCTGCAAACTGGTGATCAATCGCGAATACGTGGGGATGTTATGTAAGCTGGATTCGCGTTCGGTAAACATATTCGACACTCCCGTGTCGGGATCGGATTTGCAATGCGTCGTAATGTTGCCGAGTCGCGAGGTTCTGATTACAGAACACGATAGTAAAGTAAAATATCAGTTGCTCTTCTTGACGCAAGTCTTTTGACTCGCCTTTGAATTAAGGTGTCACTGCAGCACTGTTTCTTAAAAAAAAAAAAAAAATCATAATGTATTCTTTGATCATGTATTGAAAATGTGAAGCACAATCTAATTGTCAGCGCCGAGTATAGTTTTTCGACTCTCAAGTGACGTACGTGACGGGACATATCGATTATGCATCTCAGCACGTGTTGGTTTACTCAGCCCGACGTGAGGAATCCCGGTCTTTCAGGTGATCAAGTTACTTGGTCGAAGGATGCACGCCAGAGGCAGCGCGAGGACAACCTGTGCGCGTGGTTGAGCTCGGACGAGATAGCGAGTTACGAGGAAGATGCGCGGTTGAAAACCGAGGAGCCCGAAGAGGAGGACGAGAAGGAGCGCGAGGAACGGGGCTCAGGGATGTCTACGGTGTCGATCAATAAGCTGCAAGTTCTGTGGGATCATTTCATCCACGCCGAACCCCAGAGTTACGAGGTATCAAACATGATTTCCGAAATTAATGCTCTCTCTCTCTCTTGACTCTCGAAATTTTGCTTTCTTTTCCTCTTTAAGTTTTTATGGGTTTTTATGGGTCATTTAATTTTAACAAAACTCAACCGTTATACTCCCATAAATCCATTGTGGCAAGGAATCTTTTCTTCATGTGTTTTATATATTGATATGACGCACGGGAATAAATTATTGTCAAATTCAACGCTGATTTGTAAAGCCTCTTGCATTGTAATTGGATTGTTTCCGCGTCCGGAGACACCGCATTGTAGTGGCTTACGAAAAGAAACGGATGCCTTACAAGTTACCTGCGCCTTGCTTGTCAATACTTTGTAGAAGGCATTGATGTAATACACATCTTTGGTTACAATCGTCTAATAATTAATTGAAAAAGCGTATCATTTAATCTAATGATACGCTTTTCTAATTAGTTATTAGATTTCTTTCATAAATAAATAATAGAATAGAGAAAAAGATACAATTATGTTGAATGTTATGTTAATTATGTGCTAATAAAATATGACACATAAATATTTAATTTTAAATTAATTTGTAGCAATTGTAAGATTTTATTTATAATTAATTTTCTGTGAACGGGGCATATTTTCATTGCTAACAGTTATTTCCATCGTGAATCACGCTTATACGTGCCGGATCACATGTCGACAGTAAACAGACTATTTGTGATATGTTGCGCATACATTAAAAGATCGCTAGACACAATCCCTATTTCCGGCGACGGAGGATAACGAAAATTCGGAATGCTCCAGTTTCATATCTAACGCTTATTAAATTGAGAATATCGCAAGTAGCGTGCCGCAAGTATGTCATTTTGCAATGCTTAATCATTATGTTTTTCATTTTGTGTCCGCTAAAATGGTGATTAGTATATCGCTTAGAGACGCGAGCAAATTATCTTTGTCAACTTTGGCAAATAATGAACGAAATCTCTCTCTCTTTCTCCGATGTTCTCTCTGTTCCCTCTTGCTTATCTCTGAGCTTATCCCTGTTGCTTATCCACTAGTTTCTTTTTTGGTACGATATTTTAACATGACTTGTTTTTTTCTTACGAACCGTATCGCATCTTCTGAATTACCGAACTCGCGTTTACGGATTAAGAATAATTAGTGACAGTTAATTGCGTTTTATGAATTCTAAGTAATAACCGTCTCTGCAGATTACAATTTTTTTTTTCACGAAAGATATTTGCTTATATAAATTCTGTTGATAAGTGAGCTTATATATAAATTCTGTTGATATGCTAGCAAAAGCATGATGTCACATACACAATGATTGTTTCAGAAATCGTCCTGGCTTGATATATTTCTGGCGGAATTGCTCGCGCAAATTAAGGAAGGCAAAGACGTGAAAGATGTCCTGTCTTGTTGGTGAGGATCTCAAGTCATTACTTAATCCACCTATATTAGTCATTACTCTTAATCCATTTATTATTATTCTGCGCAATACTTTCCGTAAAGCTATATGCGATACTTTCCGGGAAGCGTGTACGATTACGCGTTTATTTTTACAACTCGCCGTCTTCGCCTCAACCACAGTATGAGAATTCGATCGCGCTTCTGCGGTTGCGACGGAGAACTTTTACGGTAGCTGCAGGCTCGACTGACTTTCGATCCGATAGTTCCCGTTTCATTTCTTTTCTGCCACTCACGCGCCTGTTAATTGTATTTATTTATTCGATTGTTTTAAATGTCTGATTAAACTTAACAGCGTGTTGACTACAATATTCACACATATATGTGTATAAAAAGTCATTGTCCTCTCTTGCATATGTCCGTATATTCTATTGCGACTCACTTTCTGATAAGCGTTGAAATAAATTTTCCTTTCTCTGCTCATTGTAAAAAGTGGCGTGGTATCACGTGAACTACTAGAAATAACAAATACATACGAGTGAGCAACTGTCATATCTCACTGATAATTCACATCTGATAATTCGATCAACCCGTTGATTGAGAGACAGTGGAAAAGACATATCTATATACATCAAGCGCATATCCTTTTGTTTTCAGTTCGGTTGGCGTTGGCGGCGTGTCGACCCTCGTGGCCTGCGAATTGCTCTCGGACGTGCACGAGTTGTGCGGAAGCAGGAGCGACGGCGGCGAGCTGATCGGTCTGCGAAAGTACCTGGTACAGGATCGCGGCTGGCGTTACCTGGCGGTGCTGCATCTGTTGGGCGTACGCGGTCTGTCATGCGGTCGCGAACTCGTCGCGCTGCTGGTTGCTCTCTACCAGGTCGCGTTCCAGGATGGAGCCGACTCGGGGGCCGACCTGACCACCGCGTCGCAAAAGTCGGACAGCGGCGAATCCGCCGTCGTCGGGCCGTCGACACGTAACCAGTACATGAGATTTCACTGTAACGACGATACCGTCGACACGGTGAACATCGAGCTGCACGCGAAACGCAAGAGCACCAAGAACTGCGGCCGCAGACGTTTCTCCCACGAGGGCGACACGCCGTCGCGCAGGAGAACCGCTCGTCGACACGTTGTCGGCGCTACGAAGATCTACCAGTCCGCCAGTCACAAGCAGAAGAAGCCGTCGTCGATCTTGGAAGCGCGACGTAATACACCGGAGGACGAGACGAGCAGCGAGTTCGAGCCGTCGACGGACGGCATCGATCCGGCACGTTCTCTCACGCTGAAGATCCGTCTGAATCCGATGGACTTTGAATATTTCACGTCGATCGTGAGGAGCGACGAGGAGCAGAAGTGGCAGGCTGAATTGTACGAGCTGCCACCTCGTCCCGTGAGGAAAACGCCGCGCGATTACATCGACGAGAGGATCCGCGACGTATTGGACGCCGACATCAGTAACTTCGAGATTAGCTTGCTCATCATACAGCTGCTGCAAGGCTTGCGCGATTACGACACACCCGCGGAGCAAACGCCAGCCGTGCAGGTTCTAAAATTTGCCCTGGACACGCTGTGGTCGCTGCAATTCGGCATAAATGGCAGCAGTTTGAACGGCACGGAAAGTGCGACCCTGAAGGCAGCCGCCGCCCGGCTAATGTTGACGGCTCTGGAGCGCGCTTTGAGGGCCGACGAGCCCACCACGGCGGTGATTCACAACGGCCTGCTGCCGATGACACTGAGATTGCTGGAGAACGCCTGCAGCAAGCCGGTGGGCGTGTTGAAGCCGGAGGAAGGTTCGCTGCTGCAGGAATTCATCTTCGCCACCATCTACGGGATCGTCACGTTCCTCTACTGCCTGTTGCACCAGCGTAGCGGCAATGTCGACAAGCTGTCGGACTTCCTCGAGTTGTTTCGACTCTTCGTCGAGAGCCAGGACGGCAGGCTCGTCGAGAGAACGGTGTTCGCGATCGTCGATCTACCCAGCGTCGATCCGGCGAAGTCGATAGTACGGGCCAAGAAGATAATCGACATAATGGGCGCGCTGACCAGCGGACTGAAGTGCGTTCGCCGCGAGCTCTCGCACGCCACGCAGTGCCACAGGGCCAAGCACAAATCCTGCATCGACCACGTGCAGAGCCATCATCACTCGGACGTGCTCGGAGCACCGTACTCCCAACCGATCGTCGGCGTGGCCGATAAACAACTGTGCTGCATCTCGTCGTTATTCGCGACGCTCACGAGCTTGCTGAAGGAATCTCATCTGTTCGCGAGCGAGTTGCAGGTGAGGCTGATTGGGATAATCACCGCCGCCGGTACGTGCTGTTGCTTCCCGCCAAAGATACTCGTCTCGAGCGTCATCGCCTGTCTGAGAAAACGCGACTCCGCGACATACGCCCCGGCGGTGGCGTTCCTGGAGCGTACCGTCTTCCGAGAGCTGGGCGCCTACTCGGCGGCGGATGCGTGCGACACTTGCGACAGACCGGCCAATTACTCGTGGGACTTTCTGGAGCTGTACGTCGACTTGCTGTGCCCCGACGATCCGAAACTCTGCTACGTCGTCATGGCGCATCTGCTGAAGGTCACACCCGGCTGCCGGTTTCACGTCAGGGAGCAGCTTCTCTTCAAAGTCTTCTATCCGACTTTCCTACGCGCCAAAGCGCATTACGTGACCGATAAGGGCAACGCGACGGCGAGGTTCCTCTTGCAATCCTGTATGTCCGTTATATCGTGTTTAATCGTGAACCTGAAGATGTGCGAGAAATTCATGGAGATAAACGGACTGCACGAGATACTGTCTCTAATATCGGACACGGCATTCACCAGGAGCGTCTACGCTCTTCTGGAAGTCACCGTGACTGTGGAGATCTGGAGCATTTGCAAGGAACCAGACGATACAGAAAGTACCGAAGCACCGGCGACGAGATTCCTCTTTGAAACCCTCGAGAGAGAGACGAACGGATTGTTCGTCAGCCTGCAGCGTCTCGAGGAACTGAGAACGGCGGAAGAGAAGGCGGACGAGCGAGGCGAGAAGGATATGCATTCCGACAATCAAGAGGCTGAATTGTCCGATCCCAGAGATTTGAGAACGGAGATCGCTGAAACGGCGATTGAAGATCTCGATGATACAACTCTATCGCAACTGCCTGAAAGTGATACTCATCGCGAACAATTAGAGAACAAGACTGATTTCGTAGTAGAGGCTCCAGCAATTTCGAATCCGCTCGAGAAGTTTTACCCTCCCGCAGAAGAGGCCATCGAGGTGTGCGACGACGGAGACGCGTCGTACAACAAATTTAGCCTGCATCAGGCTAGCGCAGCGTGGAGGGCTGCCGCAGGGGTAGCACTGTGCAGTCCGAAATTCCGCACTGAGCTATCGACACATCCGGTATCCGGGAAATCGTTGCAGTTGTTCAAGCTGTTAACTGTGGGCATCGCCACGGATAGTATCGAAGGTATACAGCTGCGACATGTGAAGTAATAATACCTGAGAAATTATTACTAAAAAAATTATTAATGAATCGTATTGTGTTTAATTTTTTCGCTGCAGATAATTCAGCGCATAAGCTCTTCGAGGCCCTGATTACGTGTTGCCTGATATCTCCGTTGTGTAAGTGTATTCATGTTACGAATGCGATTAATAAAAGCGCGCAACATACACACGTCGATTACGTATGTATATGCATGTATATCAGTCGCTCGTGCAGCTGCGGCGCGTTATAATCCGAAGATGTTTCGCGCGTCAGAAAAACAGTTCAAGGAATGTAGGCGGATGGTAAACGTCACTCTCGAAATCTCGGTTAATCGTGACGTTATCTAATTTACACGTGTAATTATATTTACCGTTCGCCCCATCGACATTTCATTCCGTTGCTCTTGCCGATTTTTGCGTAACGACAAACCCTCCGCGGTGTAGATGACTGCGACGTAGTCATGGAGTTGGGAAGGACGCTGATGAATACCGGGATTACGCTTGGCCGTGGAATAGCTGTGATAGTGGACGCGGTGTTGAAAGTCTCCATGCTGAGGCCAGCGCAGGAAAACACCATACAGCAGCAACCGCGTCCCAGAGTACGTGCTGCCAACATTGATCTTTACATTAATTGTTAAAAGTCGAGAATTTATTAATTTATTAATGCAGCTGTTTTTTTTTTTTTTAACAGCTACCAACCATGTCGTTGGAGACTCTACCGGATTACGGCGCGGACGATAGTAGTACCGGCGAGTACGTAACTGCTGACGATGGATACGAGGCAGATATTGAAGTGCCTGGGAAAAGTACCAACAGCAACATCTCGAAAAAAAGCAGCAGTCCCCTTGGACCTGTGATAGAGCCGAGAGGTCATGCCAATGCGCATCCTGCTCTATGCTCCTTGGCGATAGATCTTTTAATTCATTTCAGCGAACAGTAAGCCCTGAATACTTTCACGAATTTTCGTACATGTCAACTGTGTTATTTTATTATTTTACTTCATGACGCCCTTTTTTTTTTACAGGGGTTTAGATTTGGAGAGAGGATCGATAATAACTGGTGGATTGCGAAGGGTCGCTGTTACTTGCCGAGAAAGTGCCTCAAGTTGTGCCGCTCTCGCGGCCTCGGAAACTATTACGAAAATATTGAGCGGTTTTAAGGATGTATTCACGGATAACGATCCGCGATATCGAGGTAGTTTTAATGGGAGATATACGCAAAAATATTAGTATCAGTGCACTGTATAGTGCATTTTTGCAGATTTGCAGCACGCGGCGTTGGAAGTTTTTACATTATTGGCGACGCAGTCAATCTCATCGACGGAGCTGGTCGCGTATCTGTCGTTTTTCAAAGTGAAGAAACCGCCGCTGTTGCCGTTATTGGAGCCGTTGTATCACCTGGTGCTGGCCGCTCGACCTCAGCCGAATTTCATCCTGTTGTTCCCCGTGAAATACGACACGAGAGCGTCGCTGAAGATCCAGACGGAGGAGCACAAGAATCTGGAGAAGGCCGAGAACCTCGTGAACAATTTCAGAAAGAAGCACCTCGCTACGGGAATCTGCAGCCCGTGGTCCGTGCACGCGACGTGTCTGCCCATCGGGCCGGAACTTGCTTGGTCGGTGTGGTTGCACGGCTGCTCCGTTTCTATGTGGTTAAGGATAGAAAGAGGGCTATTAGTCGGCGGGCGTGCGACTGCCAATACTTCCCCGCTGCTGGATTCGGACAGCGAGAGTCTGTCGGACTGGGGTATCCTATCCGATGACTGGAGTCGTAATGGTTAGTAGAGAAAGGAAACTGTTATTAATTGTTAGCAAACGATTACGTTTATTGTTCCTAATTGCACACTAATATTATTGATACATGGAAGAGATTTTTATTTACTTTATAAGTATTTATTATATTTTTTATTCGGATGCATTTATAAAAGTGTCGCGAGAAGAACAAATATCAATATATAATCTTTCTTCCAGTCGTAGCAGGTTCTGTATCGCCACCCACGCCGACGTCAGTAATACATTTGATGTCCATTGGGTTCGAATCGCTGGTTTTGGAAACTTGGCTCGACCTCAGATCAGGTCAGATTCACTTTTAAAATTCGCAAATTATCAGTTATAAGTGAAAGCTCGCGCTGAACATTTATTTCATTATTTAGATAAATTAATCTTACGGCTTACTCGACCGGACGACAAGATGAACCGAACGATCTCCGAAACTTCGATAAACGGCATGCTGCCTTCGGGATGCTGGCACCACTTGACTTTAAACATTAAAGATACCGTCTTGAATAAGCGCAGTGCTGTGGTCGAGGTCACGCTCTGGATAGACGGTTGGAAAGAAATCAATGCTCAATTACCGTTTGACGGTTTACTGGTGAGGAAGCCCGGTACCACGTGTATTTTGTTAGGTCAAATCGGATCGAGCAGCATTGGCGCATGGTACCTTGGGAATTTAATGATTTTCAGGTACATTATTTTGTTACCATTCAAGTGATTCATACATAGTAGAATTATCTGTATATCTCATATGATTATTATTCGTAGATGTCCAGTGTTTACGAAAGAGCGTGCGTTGCATCTGGCCGGTCTCGGACCAAATTACACCAACTTGGCAGATTGTATTTTAAACACGGTGAAACCCGATTTTGCACCTCTCATTGCGTCCGGCGCATTGAATGGCGTTCGCGAAGTGAAATACGGTTAGCATCGTATTATTATTAATAAAGTATTTTCAGATATGTATAACACATTAATAACTTAATATTGCATCTATACGAAATCTGAGACTCTAATATCTTACTTTTTGTACATTGCAGAAGGAGGTAAATTTGATTTGAGCCGACGGAAGTCTTATGGTGGTACTTATTTGAAGCACGCCGTCGAGACAGTAGTATCAGAATCGAAAATCGATTGGGATTCCGTTATGGACGTGACAAACTCACATCTTGGCGAGCTGCAAGATAATTTGCTTCTCAGTTACGAGGCTCAAAACCCCAATATCGTGCACTTGTATCCTCAAGCTGTCGCTAATCCTGCTGGTAAGTAATACATTAATATGCTATACATTTTGTAATGTTATATGAATTATCATGCAATTTATGTTATTGTGTATTATTATTTTTATCATTATTTTTTATAGTTGTTGCGAGAAGTATCTTCCCGGGCCAACCAGGTTTCAGAGTCGTTTCAGTCCCGGAGCACAGGGTGTCGCAGCAGCCGCCTCTCTCGATACCTCCAATGATGTCTACTCGCTTAGAGAGCCAGCAATACCGAGGCCTTGTGCCCGCGGCGATCCTAGTGGGCGGCGTACCAGTATTTTTATATCTCTTTGCGAGAGTAAGTACTTTTTTTAGATCGATTAAAAAAAAAAAAAAGATTAAAGCATGTCTCCTCTAAACATTTGTGAATCTTTGCAGGTGGTCGAATTAAACTCCACCGAGGAAGAGCAAGCCCTGGCCCTGTCCATAATCCTGCATCTTGTTCGCAGCGATTCAGAACTCCTGAATCAATATCGATCGGACGGCGGGACGTCATTGATTCTGCGTGTTCTAGAATCGTCTAGGTGTCACGCTGGTAGGCACATTCTGAAGGCGATGCTCGACGCGGCGTGCGACAGCTCGATCATCATCAAGGACATCGGCAGCGGTAACCATTCGATCTCGCAAAATTGCGAGGCTGTTATCATAGACCCGGGATTGATCAAGGGTGCGCTTACCGCGTGGAGAGCTTGGGTGAAATACGACACGTTAAATTTACTGCTGCAAGCGTTACTAATTTTACTGCGAGATCAACATTCGCATCGTGAATTCAATGCGTCGCAGTTAAATCGGGTCGGTATCGTGGATACGATTCTCACCTTATGCAAGGTAAATAAAAAATACATACAGCTGTACACAATAAAATACACGTCGATACGCGATACTTGTATATTTTATAATTTTGTCTTTCTCGTAGGAGCACTTCATGTACGAGATGCACGAAGAAGAAAGTACCATATTGGACTCGAATACCGGAATCGCTATCGTGGAACTGATGCGCGCCCTAATGGGCGCACCGCCCGAATTTGCTCACTTGGTCGCCATCACCGATTACCTAGTCCTCGTTCATCAAGCCTCGGAGACTTACGTCACTCACTCGCGATACAATATCTATTTTATGTTGCCGCAACTCAAGGAGAAGGATTCGAAAAGGAGCGGTAATGTCATTTCTGATGACTCGATAGGCATAGTGGAGAACAGCAAACTGAACAAGGCATTGACGAACGAGCAGGTATGTAATATTTTTCACTGTGAAATTTCTTCGCGAAGATTACACGAACATCACAATATTGCGATTGTTCGCTTTCTTAGATTCAAAAGACGCGAAGTCCTAAAAAGAAGGATCGTAAAAATGTGCTGTCATCGGACAATACAAGTGCCGGAGAAGATTCCGGAATTGCGGGTAGCGATGGGTCTAATCCTCGAAGCAATGTATGTAAAAAAATGAAAAATCTTTAATACGACATAATTTCACTTATTACTTAATCGAATCGTGCATCGCGTATTATTTAGGACAGGCAATCGTCAACGTACGCGGACGAGAGGAGGGCCTGCCAGGGCTTAGTCTGCGAGGGGCTGTTATTGCTATTGAGAGATGCTGTGAGAGTGTTACCAGACTCTCAAGTTGGCTTAGTGCTGAAGCACGTTTTGAGAGCTGAATTGCTATTGGTTTTAGCCAATGATCCCGACAATCGCGTACGCACGGCATTGATCAAGGTAAATAATTTCTTAGTGCAACGCACGTAACGTGTAACTTTTGCCGCGACACGGAGCGAATGAAATGTTTCATCAGTATCTCGTGATATCTTACAGGTGGTGCAAACCTATCTGCAACGCGCCAGCGATGAGGAAGTTAACAAGTTTATAAAACAGAAGTACTTCATGCATTTAGGGAATCAGATAGCTCTGTATACCGGAAGCGAGTCGCTGATCGTCGCTTTAGAGAACTTAGCTCTGCGGGGGCCGACGTTGGCGGCGATGCCGCCGTTAATGGCGATGATTGCGAAGGCCGCGGGCTCCGATTCGAACGTGGCCAGGCCGATAATATCGTTTATCACTGACATAATAGCAAAGGTATGGCAAAGTGGAAAACGCACGACGGCGAATCTGACGTATACGATCGTACAGGGTTAATTTTCGTTATCCTAGAACACGAGTGCGCTGAAAGTACTTCTGGAGCAAGGCCTGATCGAGTCATTGGCACAAGCTCTGGTCGCGGCTGCGCACAGAGGTACCTCGACGTCCCTTCACCGAGACATCCACGTGCTGTTTGTGGCAATCGCGACCAAGCTTCTGGAATTACCGGGTAATCATCAGGTACAGGCGGTGCTCGATCTACACACGATACTCGATTACATGGAACTGTCGGAGAAGCTGCGGTGCCGCGCGAGTTCGACCTGCGCGGCCGTGAGAGACGCCCAGGTAGCGTTGTTCGACGGAGAGTTGGACGTGCTCACCACTAAAATGTCGAATCCTTCGGGATTCCGACTGCGTAGCACGGCTTCCTACTTGGCCTCGGCATCTTACTTTACCTCAGGTATATAAAGATTACGGCGTGCGAAAGTTTCCGGCACGCAAACTATGTGTATTTACAAAAAAAAAAAATTCTTCCAGTTCTCACGACGTCCAGCGAGCAGAGCGATCACGGGTCCCGCTCTTCTAGTTTCGCGAACTTTCACACGAATTCGACCCCGGTACCGCGTGAACCCAGCAAGGGAGAGCTGAACGACCGTTTTCGCATCATTGTGACACGTGCCGTTGAATTTATAATGGCCGCTGACGCGACGCCATCCGTCAACGAACTGCAATTAACGAGAAGGCTGTTTTCCATTCTTTTGCATGGCATGTGCAATCCGCTGGAGAAAAAAAATCACTGGAGCAACACGTGGTCCGTCAGATCGGCTCTGAGAAAGTATACGGCTAGAATTATGGTGTGGCTGCTGGAGCCGCATCAGAGCATCAATACGAGGGTATACGCCATCAGATCTCTAATGGAGGAACCGAGAGCTCGTGAAATCTTGTCGTGTATTCTGGAAGTTCACCCACAGGTATTTACGTTAATTAATTTGTCTTCAACGTGTCTTCCCATTAAAATATGAAATTATCTAATTTATATCGAGACCGGGACTCACCTCACTCACCTACAAGTAGGTCGTTAATTATTATAAAATTATAATTTATAATATGTTATGTCTAGATGGAGCAAAAGTTTACTGTGTTCTTTTGGGACCTGTTGCAAAAACGGGACGAAATGCCGAGTGCCGACGCTAGGGTATGTGCAGAGTTGAGAGAGGGTCTGCGCGTATGGAACCTCGCCAAAGGGATAGAGCAAGCTAGTCCTGAAGTATGGAACGACGAGTTAGCTTTGTTACGTCGAGATTTGCTTCCAGATCAAGATATTTGTATCGACAATTATCCCGCAATTTTAAGGTAGACGCATATTTATATTTATTCTGGAAGTTGGCGTATATTTCTTTTTTTTTAAAGTTCATAAAACGACGGATAATTTTGTGCTAGAATCGGCAAGAGATTCGATGCGTTGGCGAAGCAGCTAACCGAAAGCGCCATGACCATAACGCGCTCGGTTGTGGAGGAACAAAACCGTGAGCGTAAGGTACTGATGGAACAGCTGAAGCACACGCGAGCATTAGAGGCTCAGGCAGTTGCCAGATGGAGGGACATAGCTAAGCGACTAACACACGAACGGGCGCCATGGCATTTTCCCGAGAGCTACCCGAGAAATTGGGAATTGGATCCAACTGAAGGCCCCGCGAGAGTCAGAATAAGGCTTCAGAGGTGTCACTTGAATATCGACAACAGATTCTTTTTGCCGGAGTATCAAGACAGATTAGGTATGTCTACAGCTAAATGAATATTCCCGTAAAATAAAAAGAATTTGTCTTCAGTGGATGCAGTCTCTCAATTAACGTTTACATACGCGAAGAAATTTAGTAAATTAGAGAAAATTTCACGCACACATTTTACATCTTACATTTTATATTTTACAGCGTCTTCTAATATCGAGTTGCCATTATCGTATCTATTTACGAGTGTTCGCGAAGACTCTAACACTGCGGCTCTAATCGAACGGCTGCATACGAGTGAGAAAATACGCAAGATGTCTCAGGCGAAAGTTGTCACACCCAGAGCCGAATTAGCCGGAGAAGTCCTCATTGGCGAGACGTGCGTGTATTTCGTTCCGGACAATCCCGACATGCCGTTACATACGGACGTGAGCAATCCCCCTTATTTTCTCGAATAATTCTATCTCTGTCGATTGTTGAATTATCGATTGATTTCTAAATCAACCGACAAGACTTTCTTAACCATTGTTAATTGTAGATAGCATTGGGTGGCTTCGATTTGGCTGTGGCTGGTGGTACTGCTTGGCGTCTCGAGGATATTCGAGAGTTGCACAGAAGAAGATACCAACTGCAAGAGAGAGCCATCGAAATCTTTCTCATCACTGGCAGAACGTACCTGCTGGCGTTCAATTCGTCCAAGGAAAGAGACGAATTTGCGACGGAACTGTCCGCTTGCAATTTACCGAGGCGAATCCCCGGCGATGACTTGGGGGAGGCTCTAGCCTTGTGGAGGAGTGGCGCGCTCACGAATTGGGAATACATAACTTGCTTGAACAAACTGGCAGGCCGTTCGTATAACGACTTAATGCAGTACCCCGTATTTCCGTTTGTCCTGGCGGACTACGTCAGTGAGAAGATTGACTTGAACAATCCGAAAATTTATCGGTAAATAATATGGAAAATATGCGACACAAAATATATATTGTGAAATATATATCTCGAATGCGCGCGAATACACTTGTGTACTTTACAGGAATTTCAAGCGACCGATGGCTGTGCAAGATAAAAAGAACGAGCAACATTACATAAATAACTATAATGTAAGCCATTAAAAGTTACTATTATTATTGCTTTTTGTAGCATCACACTAATAACTTTATTTTTATTGTGCAGTACTTGAAACAAACTTTAACAGAAGGATTAAATCTAATTGCCTTGAATCAAGGACCATTCCATTATGGCTCTCATTATAGTAATTCTGGAACTGTATTACACTTTTTGGTACGGCTTCCACCGTTTACTAGCATGTTCCTTTGTTATCAAGGTAGCTACAAAAAGATTATTCTTTTACAATGGTACCCATTGAAAAATGGATTATTTTTATAAACCTATTTTTGCTCGTACAGATAACAATTTTGATATTCCCGACCGAACATTCCATGCGCTGGCCACCACATGGAGACTAACTAGCTGCGATTCAACGACGGACGTGAAGGAATTGATACCGGAATTTTTCTATTTACCTGAATTTTTATTAAACTTCGAGGGTAAATCCGAGCGTATTGCAATTAATTGAAAAAAAAAATACCAGAATTAATATATTAATATTAATTATAATACTAATAATATTAAAAATTAATATTAATAAATACGTTTATATGTGTTGCAGGATTCAATTTCGGTGTTCGACAAAATGGCAACAAAGTTGGAGACGTTGAATTGCCGAAGTGGTGCGGCGGCGACGCGCGTCTATTCATACTGGCACACAGAGCCGCGCTGGAATCCGACGTCGTGAGGGAAGTACTGCCGTACTGGATCGACCTCGTCTTTGGATTCAGGCAGACGGGAAGACCGGCGATAGAGGCGATAAATGTCTTTCATCCCGCGGTACGTGCCCTTGACGTTATCGCGGCGTAGCTACGAGCGAATGAATATTTAATAGCTCCTTCCTTGTATCCAGACCTATTACGGATTCGACGTGGAGCAGATAACCGATCCCTTGGAACGTCAGGCGTGGGAAACCATGGTACGAACGTACGGTCAAACGCCCGCGCAATTATTCCGGGCTCCCCATCCGTTGATTCAAAATCTCAGCAATATCACGCTGTCTAATCAAACACCGCAGGTTATTGAAGGGATCAATGGTAATTATCTTCCCGTGGCTTGGACTGTCGATCTATATTAACGACAGTCAAAATTTTAAATGTGTTAAACGTCGCTTAAACTACTGTCTGATGTAATCGCAGGTATAAAATGGGGAAATTATGTGGGCGCGCCCGGCAATGAGCCTGTGTTATGTTGGAAGCTTAAGCACAAAACACCATTAGCTTCACTCGTTCCTTTGGCAACTGGTGACGTTTTTGGCTTGCCTAATTACACCACGCTTCTTATCGGTTACACCAAAGAAAAAGGTTATTGATTTATTCATATTCGCGATTATTGTACACTGCTAATGCTTTTCATACAACACGGAGCTTTAAATACAGATGTGAATGAAAGCCTTTTACGTTTTATCAGGCAGCAGCATGTTAAGCGGTATGTCTGTATTGGGTGTCGCATTAGCGTCATGGAGCGGTACAGATGGAGTCGCTAGATTAAAATGTAAGAAGGAACAACCGCCGAGGCCTCTGATTAAATCTTCAGGCCTTGATCCCGTAAGTATCTTAACACACATTTCGCAATAAATAACGATACCAAGAATTCGATATTAAGAAAAAAAATAGAATATTAAAAAAGAAGAAAACAATTTCTTAAATTTGCAAGATAAAATTATTTCTTCTAAGATAGAACATTAAATATGCAATGCAATAAATATTTTTTAGATCACGACGTTGGCGTCCACTCCCGATTGCGGACAGCTTTGGATTGGACATTTATCGGGCAGAATCACAGTGCATGCGTACACTATAGCGGCTACGGGCAAAATCGAATTCAGCTCAACGTCTGCGACGGTACTTCTGGCTCACAGCAGTCGGGTGACAGTGATATCTCTGTCACGCACATTTAGCGTTGCCTGTTCCGGTGACGGCAGCGGTGTCGTTATTATTTGGGATTTAAACAGGTACACAATACAAAAATAAGGGGAATGAGAGAGAAAAAGAGTTATATTTACATGAGTTCATATATATCTGTGTTTTATTTTCAAACAGCTTAACGTACGTGAGATCGATAGTCCGTGACCAAGGTTACGCCGTACATCTTCTGTGTATCAGCGAGACACTCGGGGATGTGGCCGCCACTTACGACATTTCCAGATCAGAGGGCAACGCGACGACCAACAATCAATCCGAGTTGACGGTGCACACCGTGAACGCGAGGGCCGTGGGCACCATTTTATCCAGACGACGTGTGACGGCACTTTGCTACAGCAACGCGCCGGAGGGCGTTTCTGTCAATGTCATCGCAACTGGCTTAGACAACGGAATAATAAGGTACAACGCGATACCGTATGTTTACTTTGTTAAGTGAATTTTCTTTACGAACGGTTTATTGAACGAGAGCGCGTCTCTTGATTAATGCAGATTATGGAGCAGTTGGGATCTGCAGTTAGTCAGAGAGATTTCGAGTAACGCGAGAGACTGCGGCGCGATAATCGCTGTGGCGTGGCCTTTGGATCAGCACCACTTGTACGCGGTCACGGAGGACTTTACCGTTCTCATTTGGGAGGGATCGAGGCGTCTCAGCAACGGTACGCCGAAATTCGTCAACCTGACGTCATACTGACCTGCGTGGACCCGTCATCCGAACAATTTAAAAGAACGACACGGAGACAAACATGGAGTACGAGCTGAGAAGACAGCTCATATATAGAGAAAGAGATTGTGATTGGAGGGATAAACATGACATTATTTTCTATATTACTCTCGTAATGTTTATGCTAACGTGCAGCTTTTTTTTATCGTTTCTTGTTTTATTTGTAGGTTTTTTTTCCACTCTGCGTTATTATTAATTTAAGAATTAATGTGTTTGTTTCGGCTAATCGCGCTCATCTTTTTTTCTTTCTTTCTTGCATTCCCAGCCGTAATCATGACATGTATTGGAGAAAAAATGAACAATGCGCTGAAGTATTATTCTTATCGATTCTCCCAATATGATTGTACCCATAATTATATATCCTACATTATATTTTTATATAAATTTTTATATCGCATTGCGTATTGAATTCATATAGATTGTACGTCTCATTAGTGTATAATGTTCAATAACGTAATTTATATACATAAATTTTTATAGAATAACATAATGCAGCAACAAAGACGCGTTTACACAAACCACTCATTTTTCCAATGTTTGCATTCTCCTCTTGCTGATATTTCTATGCAAATATATGTATATATGTATATGTATATCAAATAAATCCTTTACTGCATTAAAATACACTGGTATATCTCGTTTCAAATACTCTTAATTCGCTCACCATTAAATCTCATTCAGGCAGGGCTCGATTATCTCGTACATGGGATAGTATTTTGTCGTCCTCCTCGCAATCTGATCCGCCGTGTCTCCGCTCGAGTTAACCAGGTGGGGATTCGTGTCGGGATGCAACAGAAGAAGCTGGAGGGCGGGGGAGTTGTGCGAACTGGCGGAAACCAGGTGTAAGGGCGTTTGATCTCCCTTGCTCCTCGCGTTAACGTCCGCTCCGTTCGCGATCAAGGCTTCGGCGCATTCCGTGTTGTTCCAACAGCAGGCCGAGTGCAGAGGTTGCCATTCGTTTTGGGTTTTAGCGTCTATCCTCGCCCCGGCTTCAAGCAGATACTGTTGGCACAGAGACAGGCATCATGATATGCAAATCAGCTTCAGATTTTGCATACAAAGATGTTAAGAGGATATAAGGTAAACGTACCAGTGACTGAACGCGTATCTATAGCTGAACAAGTACACAAAAATTTATTTTTAAATGACTTTTCTCGTAATATTATAATTTAATTGTAATCTTTAAATATTTTTAACAATTAAATTTTGATATTACAATAAAAAAAGTATATGAGATTAATAAATCTTGTTGTACGTGTTCGGATATAGATACACGTTCAGCCACTGGTACGTTTACCTTAATTTCCTACACCTACCTCCACCACTTGGACATTGTTGGCGTAGCACGCCCTGTGAAGCGGAGTATAGCCGTCCTTATCGGTGCAGTCTAGTAAGAGGCAATTTTTGCTCAATAATTTCTTAATTTTGTCTAGGTTTCCCTCCTCGGCAGCGCTCAACATAGCCTTTTCGTCAGGTTCTGGCAGGAAGAAAGGAACATCGTAAGCGCACGTACATGAAATTAATTCAACGAAAGATTTCTTGATGTTTCGGGATTATAAACACGGAATTTTTTTATTTTCTCCGCTTGTCGCGATTACATAGTTTTCGAATTCAAGGCGGAGATGCATGCCGGTTAGAATCCTAACCTCTCGCATTACGTTCCGCCTCCACACCGTCGTCGTCGTTCTCCCAGGCGCTCACTTGCATACGCTCGCTCGCCGGGCTGCTGAGAATCTTGTCGCGTATCGCCTCCAGGTCCTGCAGCTCGTCATTCTCGTCGTCCGATGACATGCTCGCGTCGTGTCTCAAACAGCGTTCAGCGGGTTAGCTCAGATCAGCTGTTCGACTTCTACGTCATCCTACGTCCTGCTGCTTTTGCAAGTCTTGCAACCACCTGCGGCGCCCGCAACATGAAAACACGTATGTACGAGTCTATAATCATATGCTCATCTATTATATAATTCAGATTGATAATTCCATTGATAATAGAGATCTATTAATAATGCAGATGATTTTGAAAGTTACAAATTTATCATTCAATCTTTTAAAATTCGGATTTTATTACATTTCAAAACGTAAACAAAACGGGTTCCTACTGCTTTTTTAATATTTTAGATGTAGTGTATATGTATATGTATTGTATGTTTACAGATATAATGTTAACATATTTATTAAATTAAAAGATATATATTTAATATAGTTAACGCATTCATTATGGATATATATTAAACTTGCAAGATATTTGACATCTAATATTAAATTTCTCAGAATAAATGTTTCTAATAAAATGTGATTATTAATTAATGATTATAGATTTATATATTAATAACATTTATATATATTTCAGAATCTGATGTTGAAACGTCGAACATTTCCGAGGAAAAAAGAATTATAAGGGAATGATTGAAACAATGAAATCTCATTATCAGATGCACAATTTTTTTGGAACACCATTTAAACATTTAATACATAACATTTGAAAAGAGCAATCTCGAGCGTCAGAAATTGTCAGAAATGTCGAGGTAAGCTATGCAAAAATGAATTGCTTGAAGTTACTGGATACTCTTGATATATTTGGCTGCGCCGGTATTTGCATAAGCGCTGAAAGTTCGCTGCTGCTGCAGAATTCGCTGCTCATTTTGCAGACGGAAAATCACTTCCGAAAATGTTATTATTGGGGTAGGATTAACGGGATACAAAAGGACTATCACATCGCATACGGTTTTGAAAAGAATTGCATGAACGGTCAAGTGTATTATTACAGGTAAGAATTCCTTGGATTTTATGAATTAAAGCTGTTGAAATAAAGACAAGATTTTAATATATATAAAACACCTCTATAGTTAGTTTTGGACGAATTAAGATGTAGATTGAAGAAATGTATTTCTGATGTTCCGCTTTACAGTACAGATGGTATGAATTGGCTACTGCTGCCAAAAGCGACGAAATGCGGACGATTCCTGAGCCCGTTGGCGATTAATCAATTCGAGGGCGATCCGTCCATCGTCACGAATGTCTACGATGTCAATCCACCCTTTCCGCCGAATGAGGATCCCCAGAATTATTATGACGTAATAAATCAAAGTGATTTATATTTTAAATTCTCTTTGAGAAATCTCTCCATTCAAGAAATTCAAGGAATCTATCGTAAGATTTGAGCTACTTCGAATGTTAATGTATCCCAAGAGTATTTTATGTTGTTTTTCTACACGGATATAATTTAATTCTAGTTTAATCTAATCTCAAAAAATGATGTGTTTCAGGATCCCATGCCTAAAGAGCTGAAAGAGGAGGATCGTCTCGCGGCCACCGTGGAGTCGATCACGGAGGATGCCGCAGTCATCCCGCGAGGGGCCTGGTTCAAGTGTCCGAACGGCGACGTGGTCGAGAATCCGAGTTTCGGCGGTCTCTGCGACGTGGACGCCTCGTGTCTGAAATCCTACTTGCACGCCCGTCCGCCGAAGGAGAAGTGGAACGTGAATTTGTCGTCCCGGCTCGATTACAATTACGCGTTGGACTTTTTGGACAGCCTAGATATGGATGTTCCTAAAGGTACAGCGGGCGATAAAGCGTGAGCTTTAGCGCAGAAAGACGGAGACCTGAAAAACGCGTAAAATAACGACAAAATTTATAAGCGATAAAATTTAACACGGCATTGTTTTTCAAACTTTCCTTGGGTTTTTGGTTGATCTATGTCTTTGTTTATTATAATTTTCAGAAAGTTGGAATCTGCAGTTTCTAAGGGGCGGTCGCCTGGCCCTTTTGCACAGCTTGTATTGGCACGGAATGACCTTCTTCCACAAGTTGAACTCCCCGCATCACGGATTCTTGTACGTCGGGAGTGGAAAGAAGAATCTAGATCTTCCGTTCATGATGGTCTGATACACTGATGACTGCGCGAATAGTCACGTAAACGTCGTGTAAACGACATAATGTAATGAAATTGAAGTGCTTTAAATTTCAAGTGTAACTGTATAACAGCGTGACGATATCGTTTGGTTTATTTTAATGTAAAATGCGTGAACGGCGTAACAGTGGTGAGTCGCGAAGAGCGAAGCGCCCGGTTGAACGCGGTTAATCGATACGCGGCGTCGATATAATTCGTAACGCCATTGTCCTTAACGTCCGCTTCCCGTCACGAAAATACACATTGTCTACCCGTGTATTTTTGCGCGACCGTGTCCGCTTTCGGTGACATCCTCGAATTCGCGACAACGTTAAATTTCGTGCTTCCTGCGGAACGCGTGCGTCCTCGCGCCGGTCCGTCACCCAGGATTCCGCGAAAGGAAACTCGGCGGTTGAAATGGCTTTAATTGAATCGCGAGGAAACGAGGAGTTCACATATACGGAATATCCCTGACAAGTCGATTTTACGTCGTGAAGAGAGGAGAAAATGCGATTCTGCTGACGCATTGATTTAATTTTAATACTCGATCAAACATTAAAATATATCAGGTATCAATTTAACGTCAAGATAAAAAGCGATTGTAATATATTAGTTTCAATGGCGAGACATAGATTTTTTTGTATACATTATATAATATATCCGAAAAATATATTTTCTGCCATTTCACGTGCAAATTTGCCATTATTTTATTCGCGCTAGAAACGCTTCGGCAAGTGTATGCTCGCCAATTTTAAATTTGTATTCAGAAAGTCTCATATATACACTGAGAAAAAAAATTTGTTGAAAAACGCAAAATTTGTTTTATTTTACCAAAATATTAAGTCCGATACGTTTGACTAAACATTACTACGATGACACAAAATAATTTGTTACTATTATAAACAAAATACTATTTTTTAACTAAACTATTTTGTTTCAACAAAAATTTATCGTATTCAACTCAACCGTTCTATTAAAAATACACACTATTTATTATCCCCATCAGCATCGTTTAGTCAGATCGATACTTGGAATTTAAACAAATATATTACTTGGATAACTAAATAACATGCAAACACAAATAAATACTACTAGTATTTTGAATAAAATAATTTAATTGAGTTGGTTTAGTTAATTCTTCATTAAAAAATTTTTTATGGTTGAAATGAATGAACTATACCTTTCTTTGGGCAACTAAAGAATTGTTGAATTGACTATTGGATCAAACAACTATACAAATTTAGTTCGTACAATCAATTTTTTTTCTCAGTGTACATATTTTTTTTTCCGTATCTGTTTAAATACTTTAAATTCTCTTAAGAAAATGTCGAGCGAAACGTCATTGAGCATCACAGCTTGCTACAAAGTGCATAGAAAATATATAATTCTTGCGAGCCGTTTGCATTTTGAATTGCCACGATTTTCAAAAAGTTCCGACATCCCGCGCGCGCTCCCTCCCGCCGCGCGCCGCCACTCCCCCCCCTCCCTCGTCTCCGCGAAAGCGTCGGTTCGAAAAGGCGCAGCGCGCGTTTCGCTCCGCAATTGATCGCGAATTTTGCCCGTCAATGGTGCACGGCGACCGCCAATTTCGGGTGTGCCAGTTACAGCGATCCGCGGGCAGTCGTCGGAGCGTGTCGGTCATTGTGGATTCTTGGGAATTGGGACGATTACGACCGTTTCGCCGCGGCCGTTGCACCGGCGTCTTTCCGGCGAGCCCGAAACGGCGGCGCGTTCACGCGAAAATGAGACTTTTTTGCGCGATTGCGTCTTCGAGAGACGCGCGACGGACATGTTTTTCGTGGATTTATGGCATGATGGATTTATAATTTCGAGAGCACCGCTCGTGCGCCCGATAGAAAATCCGCCGTTGAATGCAAGTACGTATATATATTTCGCGACAAGAAAGTGCGATCGTGGCATTTTCAGCGGCATTATGCTGCGTCGGTAAAATGGGACAATTTCGCGCGAGAACTTCGTCAAGCGAATTGCAGTCTCGTCAGAATTCTCCGTGCAACTGGATAGTGTGATATGATAGATTTCCCGCGAATCGATTAAGTGCACCAATTAATCGAGGTATGCAGCTGCAATGATCATATATAATAATTTTATCTTTAACGCGATCGCGCTATAGTTCAGTTCGTTTGTAAAGACGATCGGAAATCCAAGGAATTTTATTAATTTCGAGAAAAATATCGATTGTTGCATGAGATATTGGTGCAGTGGATTTTCAAGGGGTCCATAGACGTAAATTGGACACAAAGATCACAGCGAATATCGAGGTTCGCAAATCCGCGAGGAGGGGGGATCGCGAGTGAGGGGTGTAATAAGTGAAAAAATAGTGCGCGTCCCGCGCGTGTTTTGAATTTTCGCGCGCTCTCGGATCGCGTCGCGGGAGTCCACGTCGTTCGCCACGCCGGCGACGGATGGCGCCACTGGTGGCGACGCGAGTGTACCGGCCGCCGGCGCACCTCTGACCGTTCTAACCTGCCGGGGGAGACGCACGCACGCACAAGCGCAGTCGAGCGGCCAAGTCGAACGCAGTGACCCGGCGTCTCGGCGAGTGAAGTGTCCGTTGATTGCGGAGTGATCCTGACGTTGCGGCCTGTGCCTTCGTTGCGGAATCCTGCTGAGGGGAATACCACCGCCGCGAGTACGTACGGTGAGTGCTTGTAGCGAGTAATCTGCGTCGCGAGCGCGCCGCGCTCGCGCGCCCATCCGCCTGTCGCCGCGCCGCCCGGCATTTCCGTTACTTCGGCCGCGAAAAAAAAAGTCCGTAAAATCACACCGAGAACCGCGAAACGGACGTCCGACCCGGCCGCAGGGAAGCCCCGGCCTTCGTCGAGGGCTGATCTCGCGAACGATCTCACGTGGGAGTCCCTCGGGAGAATCTCGATCGGATAAATGCGTTTGGACCCGGTCTAGATCCATCGGTCCGTCCGAGACGCTTCCGGGGAAAGCACATTTTTCTTTCCTCGTTTAGAAACTTTTTCTCCTCCCTCCCTTCGCCCCCCCTCTGCTCTCCCGAGCGACCGGTGACAGGAGCAAGGACTCGTACACAGAATTTTCTGGAAGTAACGCGCATTTCTCGAAACTCTTCGCGGAATAGGAATCACTGTGACGAAGTAGATATTTAAGGGCACGAACCTATTTCCGTTAATTGTTGAATTGGATCTTTTATACGGCGACGCGATGGCAAATTGATACGAGCAAATTGGATAAATTGGCGGAATATCTGCCGGGATTATCGAGATTTTTCCCGATCGGTTACACCGTTAAATTTTAACAGAGAGAACGCCGGTTTTATCGCGCACGTAGGATGCCGTAAGATATTTATTGTCGTCTCTTGTTTATGGACATTCCCCTTTTTGTGTTTAACGCGATGGCATTTATGCGACGTGTCGTCGCGCTCGATTCAAGGTTAGCAGGGTCAAAGAGAATTACGGACCTGTCGTTGCCTGGCAAGAAGCACATTTCTTGCTCCCTTCCCCTCCCCCCCCCTACGAGATACGCGTAGAGGGCAGTTAATTCTCTCCAGAGTCCATTTGCCATTTTGTTAGTTCGATGTGACATCTGGTAAATTTGACGCATGGTAAAAATTTTATACTGCTCGAACATTTTATATTACATGTGCTGAATGTTACGCTTCGTGTATCAGTAATATATATTTTTTTTAATTTTGTACCAAATGGATAATAAACAAAATATTCAGCGCGAACTGAAAAATTATATGCTGAATATGAAAGTAATGTATGCAATATTCGTGCTCATTTTATCATTGGAAACACGTTAAACGGTCTAGACGAGACGAGAAATTTCAGACAGACGATAATTTGATAATGATACTGGAAGAAATGATAAGATTTCGGTTCGTTCGAAATGAAACGTTTCGTACAAAAGAGGAACAAAAAGTTGTCCAGTAATTTATCCAAGTTCATCTTTAAATATTTAAATTGCAAATCTAACAAAAAATTACTTTTTACCCTACAAGAAAAATTTACGTTTGAACGAAAAATTTTTACCTTTTTTAAATCCCTTTAATTATATTAAAGCTATTAAAGGCGTATAATTTATAATTTGTATTTATTAGTATTTTTATTTTTTTATTTTTTTTTATTTTTTTTTTTAGTTTTATTTTATTAATATTATATGATCTACGAATTATTCCCTGTCGTTAATCTCTGACTATAGAAATAATTGAAGTTTATTCTGCGTAGCTATCCTTCCCCTCTCCCCGAGAATGATCTGTCGTTAATTTCGCGATTCCGATAGTCGTGATCCACTTTTCGTAGATCATAAGAGCCGGCAATTTCGTCGCGCGGTTTTCGATTCGTTCCTGCGGTTTCACGATTCCGCTCGTCATCCGCGCGGTGCATTCCCCTCGTATAAGGTACGTGTACACAGGCTAGAGATTTATTTTCGCGCATGTCGAAGAAATCAATGACTGACCGATCAACCTCTCTCTTTTCTCTCTCTCTCTCTCTCTCTCTCTCTCCTTTTCCCTTCGTAGGCGTAGGTAGGAAACCCTCCCGGCTGTGTCGCCTATCTGATTCGTATGCGCAGCCCGTACGCGTGCGATCGCGTAGCCGATTCCGAGCACGGACCGCGCGAGTTCCGGTTCCTATTCAAGTAGCATCCTCCGCATCCCGGCGAATACACCACTCGTCTTCGACGGTCTCCTCTTCCCGCTTCGTATCATCGCGCGTGAATTTCGCCTCGTACACGTCTCTCCTCGGTGTACCTGCTCAAATATGACCGGTATATTTCTCATTTCCCCGGAATACGCTCCGGAAGCGCCCTTCGTCACGTCGTTCGAGGGAATTTCAGATTTTCGCTTGGCGAGTTTTTCATTTATTTCGCCGCTCCTTATCATCATCTCTCGTCTTTCCGATCTATTTACGCACCGCCGTAAATTAATTTCTTTTGTTCCTGCCCGCGCCGACAAAGCAGCGACGGGGATGGCTCGGGACGACGTTAACGAGCATTTAATTGCGGCGAAATTAATGCCAGGAAGGTATTGCACGATGCCGCTAATAAATGAATCGTCGAATTGTTATAAGACAGAAGTTGTAAGTTGTGAATCGCATCGCGA